TACTTTATTCTCCGTTGCTAAGAATCAAATACTGATTAACTATACTGAACTAAGGTAAGGCGTTGGGCAACGGCAAACCGTAGGATCGTATCGATGAACGCTTTCTCAAGCTTTCGCAAGTACGGGCAAGTACAAAGAATCCGATAGTGGGGTTTACCCTTTCTAGCGCATCCCAACCCTTCTTACGAGTGTAAGAGGTTTTAAGGGTGGTAGAGTTTAAGGTAAGAGGATAGGAAGGTATGGAGGAAGGGGCAAGTAGGGGGGAATCCAACCGAAGGAGGGAATCGAGACTTCGGTCAATTAAGCTCAGGAAATTAGAGTTTTAATTACGCAGTCATTCAGAAAATTACATCGGGGCGGCGCAGGAGCTAGTTTTAGAATCGCTTGCTTGCTTTTCGAGGTACGCGAGGAACTACGACTTCGTGTACGGATTTTCTAAAGGGGTCTTGCTTTGTTCTCTCTTTTTCTATTCTTCTTTTTTTTTTACTTTCTCTCTCTTTCAAACAAAATCTTACACGAGATGGACTAATCGTTGGTTAGCAGGTATTACGCATGCTCCCTGTTTAATCGGGTAAAAGATCAAACGACGTCTTCCGTCGTTTCCGACATTACAAGATAAAAGTAAGAATGCTTTAGGAGAATAAAAAGAAAAGTGCTAGTTGAGAGGATAAGTGAATGAGAGAGTCGTTTAAGAAACACTTGAGAAAAGTAAGAAGATGCAACGAGAGTAGTTGTTATTCCTGTTGTTGGTGGAAGAGAATCACGTCGTCTCTAAAGATATTAGATTTTTATGATAACCGATGGTTTTATCTGTAGTATAGTTTCAATTGTCGAAACGTTTATTTCATGTACTGGTTGTTATTTGAATCTTGAACAAAACGCAGACCAGTTCCTGACTATTATTATTGCTATTATTGTTATTAGGGATGACTAAGTATCAATGTTGAAATGCGGTGGTTGTAATTGATGCCCAGCTCTACTGTACATTCTAGGCAAAGATGAGTGCTAGAAAGAGAAAGAGAGAGAGAGAGAGGGAGAGAGAGAGAGAGAGAGAAAAGCAAAGGAGGAACTTGTAGAGAAGTGGAATGGAGTAGAGTGGAGTGTGAATTGGAATAGAATAGGATTGAAAGCCGTAGAAGGTGCGGGCGAGAAAGGTGCGTCTGTTGAACGTAGAGTTGCGGGGGTTAAATCTAGTTACATGTTCGGTGACGGCTACTCGATAGGCCATACCACCACTCGGCGGTGGCAAACCAGCTAGTAGTTCTCTGCAGTTCATTCGAGGGTTTGCCGAACTGATATTGCCGTTTCCAGGATCACCACTCGATATTCGATTCGTGGAGAACGTTTCCTCTTCTGTTCGCTCGGAGACTTCCTACCTTATAGGGAATACATAGTTCTGTGTCATTCAGTACACTTGTCTTCACTGTCTCTTGATACGAAATTAGTCTCTTCTCGCGCAAGCTTCATTTTCATCTTTTCTTTCTTTTATCGTTGAAGTCTGAAGGAGAAGTGATCGTTAATCGATCACGCGAGTGAAGGAGTCGTTGGAATTTCAAGTGGAACAGATCGTTAGCGAAGGAAGTCCATGGTGGTTCTTTGAAGATAGGAATATTAGGAGTCGAGATGATACAAGAGTGATGCTGAGAGAAACTAGCGAGACGGAAAAGAAAAGGAAAGAAAAATAATCGTTCGAGAAGGAAACGTTGGATAATGGAGAGCGTTAATTTTCCAAATGAAAACGAGGCATCCATCTTTGGCGAAATGCTTGCCTTCCGACATTTCAGCGACTTTAGCCATTCTCCCGCGTAACGCATTACAGTAATGAATTAATTTTCATCTAAGCACTTTTTCTTTGTTTTGTCCTCCACTCACAGTTTTTCTACATCTCTGTATTTTCACTTCATCACTGTTATTTCTCAATTTATCTCTCTATTTATTTCTTCGAGTGTTTTCGCTCCTACTAGAGATGATCATCTTTAACAGGAATCGAGGGTGTATACCAGATGATCGTTTTAAAATGACGTTTCTCTTTGACTTATCAAAACATTATCTGGGATTCGCTTTAATATAATATTCAACGAACGTTAAAATATTTCAAGTGGAGCCATCGTCGTAGTCATCGTCGTCGTGCATGCTTGCGAAACTAATGCATAATGCATTTCACATGTCCGCGCAATTACATTTATAATTACATCATTATTAAACGCGCGCGTGAACTGGAATCTATTATGTGGGGAGGAAATTTATATGCGTGCATGTGTGGGTGTGTACGTGCTTGCGCTCGTGTGCAAGTGTGCGCCTGTTTGTGTAGTGCAGATCGACAGGGCGAAAGATCGGAGTTTCGAATTGACATCTTCTCCTTCCCCATTGTCATTCTTTCTCATTCCTTCCTTGGTTATTCTTCTTTCATTCTCCTTTGGCAATTGGTTGGTTGGTTGGTTGGTTGGTTGGTTGGTTGGTTGGTTGGTTGGTTGGTTGGTTGGTTGGTTGGTTGCTTGCTTGCTTCCTTCCTTCCTCCGTCCGTTCTTGTTCTTTTCTCAAGTCTGCCAGAAGGCTAAGCACGGCGAGCTCGTTAACGTATTCATGGGTTTATGGGACAATTAACCCTTTGAGGGACAGTTTAATTACACAGAAGCGATTAAACATCTTAACGTATAAACACGTCGGGCTCGCGGCTGGTATGTGTGTGCGAAACGCGCCGTGGCAGCCAGGGTGCGGCTGTTACCAATTAACATACTAATGACACGAGGTGCTTTTCAAGGGCCACTGTAACCGCCTGCTGCCTGCAAAAGCTTCTGAACCGAACAACATATACATAAATGTATGGTCTATATACATGAATAACGTCGTCGAATATACTCTAAGTGCGACGTCTACGTCTACCAAAGGATTTTTCGGTAAAACTCTACGAGGTGTCGAAAATAGTCGACGAAGTACTACTCGTTCTCAAGTAAGAATTTTTAATTGTACACCGCAAATATTTTCTACGATTCGTAAAAGAACACACATATAATATGTTTATGTATGTATATTTGTAGTAGTAACAGTAATATAGTAGTAGTAGTATGTACATATCTCTGAGTATGCAATTCGATGCCGCGTTATTAAACCGGACGTTAGCGTAATTACTCATCAACCATTAATCAACATTGTTTTAGCAATTAGGAATTGCCGGGGGATTTAATTATTACAGCAATTAGCGCATAGTTCCATCGTTAATAACTTTCGCCGTTTCATCTAAACGTGATTTATTGCGATCAGGAAGCTCGAGTGAGAGATAGAAAGAGAGTGTGAGAGAGAGGGAGAGAGGGAAAGAAATCGAGAGAGAAAGAGAGGAAGAAGGCGAAAGAATAGTATTGCTGTGAGGTATAACGGTGAATAAATAGGCGACACGTCGATGAAAATGCACCGGTTAACTTCGATTCGAGCGTTGAGGGTATTCGATTAATTAGAAGCTCGAAATATTGCTGTCCTCTATTTCTATTAAATATGGTATCGCGCATCTATAGGGTTGCTGGCGATGCACACGTTGACGTTTGAAATTCGATATATCGACAGGAAAACGATACATTTCAACGAAGTCTCGATACGCAGCCGTAGCAATGTTTTTGATACATCCGAACGATCCCAAGTACTATTGAATATCGCTGATTGCCTGCTATGTAAACCGATTGCTACTTCGATTTCAATTTTCAATTCAATATTTAGTTTTCGATCGTCCTTTGGTCAGTAGTATTAACTAAAAGTGGAAGAGAATAGAAAAAAATCATTTGATCGTATAGTTAATATAACTACGAACAAAACTAAAATCATTAGTTCAACTTGGTTCTGCTGCTGCTGCTGTTCCATGTTACGTGTAAACGTATACGGCGTGCAAGTACAGTTACATATGCTCAATGTTACAAGTGTGGGTATTCAAATACGCGCGGGTGTACAGAGCAAAGCTTCTGAAAAGTTGGATCAAATTTTAGCAACGTTTTTTCAACTCGCTCTCTTTCTCTCTCGGTCGTTGGTTGCGAAATTAAAAAGCAGCTCTATATTTTTTCGGTACGTGGCAAAGCATTCCATTCAAGTCTTTCTTTCTTTCTTTCTTTCTTTCTCTCTCACTTAGTAGCGATAGCCGGCGAGTTCAAGCGGATCGCGCTAAACGAATTTTAACTTGCCCGGTTTTCACTAGTAAGGCCACGAGCTCCGGGCCGTTTTAGATTTAATTAGCTAATTATATTGTTCATTTAATTAATATAATTGGAACGACTGGTGGTCACATGCGCGCACGAGCTTCGTCCTTCCAACTATTACCCCTTCTCTTCCTCTTCCCCCGGCGAGAACCCCCATCCATAGCTACCCCCGCGCACGGCCCGTTACCCTGCAGTGCCGTATTTAATGACATCCATTAACGAACGTTTACATTAACCGTAATTATCGCTGTCTCTCTATGGATGCAAGACCGAGCGGGACACAGCATGCCACACGAATTTCCAATGGCTAGACGATAAAGAGTTTTTTATTTTTTGCGTAGTCGATTATTGTGACGGGCGTATCTTTGATGCGATCGATTTTTCAGAGACAAACGTGCGTTTTCAAAAATACCTACTAAAAAATAGCTTATACGTGCCAACGGAAATTTGCTATTCTTCTTTTTTTGTTTCCTACGACGCGACATCAAAATTTAGGTACTCGTTAATCTCAGATCCGAGATTAAATACCTGTCTGTCTATCTATCCTCTAGATATGAATTTAAATCGGTATGTTTGTTAACGTCGATTCGATTCCGATCGAAAAAAAAGGACCCTGCCATCATTCCAAAAATATATGTATACATAAATATATATATATATACTTTTATTTACTTACACTTTCAAATGCGTAAAACGAGCGCGCGCGCTTATATGCGCTCCATTCGAGTCGCGAAGTGTTACGGAGAAAGCCGAGGTAAGATGAGTTGCGCGCGCAATTAATAGACCGGGGGCACTCGGTGGGTCTCGTGACGCGCTCGTGTCCTTCCTTCTTATTCCGGTCTAGACCTTCCTCGTGGAAGGACGTTTTTTTACAACTGCATTAAGGTGCATCGCGACGATAACGCCATCGTTGACATTGTGCGACAAGATAGAGAGAGAGAGAGGGAGAGAGAGAGGGAGGAAAGGAGAGAGAGCGCGGTTACGAATACGTCCAATAGAATTAACGAAAAGAAAAAACGTTTTATTTATTTGTTTGTTTTCTTCCCTCTCTCTCTCTCTCTCTCTTCTCTTTCTCTCTCTCTCCTCCCCCTCTCTAATGTGTTTATTATTTAAAAATATAATCCGCGCGTGTTGAAGTATCGAAGATTATACCGCAATAAGTGTCTCGGTACGATATCGAAAAATTTCTTTCTCTTTTTTTTTCTTTCTGTCTTTTTCTTTCTCTCTCCTCCACCTCTTCCTGTCGCCGCTTGTGTTTCCCTCGAAAGAGCATAGTTACTGGCTTATCTCGAGTGTCGGATAAGTGTCTTCGTCTGAATTCCTGGAATCGTTTTCATCAGCCGCCACAGGTGGACTCATTGAGGATTTTTGCTATTGTGGATACACTTTCATCGTCTGCGACTGATGTGTAAGTGTTTTTTAATTAAATATTACATTTTATTATTTTTGCATTAACCGTAACAATGTAATTTAATATTAATGACAATTGGATTTTAAATTTCTTCGTCAAACTGACACTGACATAATTCGATTATCTATGTCGCATTTTTTTTTTTTTATATGTTTAAATAAATCATAAGTTTAATTGTTTTTATAAAACAATTTCTTTTTCGCGTGTGTTTTTGCTTCTTTTTTTTTTTTTTTTTTTTAATAACCGTAATCCCAGATGACTGTAGAAGCGTGGGAGAATTTTATTTGAAAAATCGTTTTGAACGCGTATTATTTTTCCTCGAAAGATTCAAATTTAGATTTGTTAGTCGTTAAGAAGAAGACGATTGGTTGGTCTGATCGAGAGCGCCTTAAGGAAGTATCGACCTATGAAATTACGGGTCAAGATCATCATGGAGTATCGTAACCGTATATAGATCGCATCGAGGATCTCCGAGGAAGACTTTGCACGCGCGCAATTACGCTTGATTTAACGAAAGCACGAAGAGAGAGAGGGAGAGAGATAGAGAGAAAGAGAGAAAGAGAGAGAGAGGGTAGGAAGATATATTGCATTCTCGATAATATGCACTCCAGTCCTGTGTAATTTATTTTCGAGTGGCAATTACGTCTTTAGCGTACAGGCTTGTGTTCTACAATGAAACGAACTTTCATGTATGAAGTACCTATCCTCGTAAAGAAAAAAAAAAAAAAAAGAAAGAAAGAAGGAAAAGGAAAAAAAAATAAAAGAGAGGAAAAAAGAAGATACGATCAATGGTCAATTAATCGTGCACCGCTCGTAGAATTTCTTGCAACGTTAATGGTATAATAAGAGACTTACTCAAAGTAATTGTTGTATGTTATATACTACTTTAGGCTTTTGCTTTTTAATGTTAAAACATAATATTATACTTTACCTTTTTCTTCTTTTTACTCAATCGATTTGGCTGATCCATTATTATTATTATTATTATATTATTATTATTATTATTATTCTGATTTTCGAAATGTGATTCTGTACGTTTATATTCGTGTTAGCATATTTCGTTAAAACTCGAAGAATTCCGAGACTCCGAAGAGAGTCTTCGACCGGTCTTAGACGATGTGGGGAAGGCGTTGTTTGTGCAAGGATCGTTCGCCTTAATGTTCACCACGGCGAGAGATGGCGAGGCATTAATTGGGGAGCGCCTTAATTGCCTGGGCGCATGCGATGACCGTTGTAATTGCCTGGACTAAGGTGCCGAGCGATGGCAGAAGGTGGGCAAGCGAGAACACAACCCAGCATCTCTCTTCAACTTAATACATGCATAAATGTATTACTACTACCTTTCTATGTATTTGTATGCATGTATAAATGAACACCTAGGTAGATGATATGCATGTATGTATGTATGTATGTATATATGTATTTGTAATATGAGCTCATATGCATGTTTATGCGTATATGTATGTGTGAGTGTGTGTATTGGAACGGGGCTCGTATTTTGCGGGTTCTTCTAATGGAATCCAAGGTCATTCCGTAATTAACGCGCTTTAATTTATCGTCGAAACGTTAATTGCGCCGATTGCCGTTCGCTTTTCTAAAAGTGGGCGGAGAGAGAGAGAGAGAGAGAGAGATAGAGAGAAAGAGAGAGGGGATGGGGGAAATGGTTTGCGTTAGACGAGAATCGCATCTCTCTGTAAAACTTCTCATCAAATGATTTATCGTATTCGACGATTTCGTATATAATAAACTCGAGAATCGTTTTAGAAACGATTTCTTCTTTTCCGATAAAAATCTTTCGAGTACTATTACAGCTATGTGCTTCTTTCAATCTATCCCTTTCTCTTTCTCCTTCTCTTTTCCTCTCTCGCATTTTCTATTTCTCTTCGCGAAGAAGTACGAGGAATTTTCAACATACGAGTTTTCACGTAGTCCCGACATTATCTCACTTGATATACCTACATATAGGTTTATGCGTGTAGGTGTCTCCTCGAGAGATCGTCTCGAGGGAAAGAGGCAAAAGAGGGTTGTGGAGGATAGAGAGAGAGAGAGAGAGAGAGAAAGAGAGGGGTTTGGCGGGTCGAATTCGTGCGCTCGAAGGGGCGCATCTTCCGATTGGTTTTTCGCTTCGGTGTACCGACTAGACTCACAGTCAAGGTGGGAGTCGGAAGTCAATCTTCGCGGCCGGAAGTGGTCGCCATCCTCCTGGATCTTCCATTTCTCTCCCATCTCTCCTCTCCTTCATCCCACTCACTCTCTCTTTCTCTCTCAAACACACACACACACACACACACACAATCTTCCTTTCCTTACGAAACAGTTTCTATCGTTGGATTGCGTTTCCAACGCAAGTCGACGCTATCTTTTCCTACGGGAGTTGCTCGTCTTCTACTCACCCCTCATCCTATTTCTACTACTACTACTACTACTGCTACTACTATTACTACTACTATTTTTCCATCTCCTCAGAGTGATTTTACCGGTTTGCGTTCGTCCTTTCTCTCTGGACAAAGAATCAGAGAGAAAGAGAGAGAGAGAGAGAGAGAGAGAAAGTGTGTGCCGCCAACCCCTAAATGAAATCCTGAAATTAAAGCCATATATTAACCTCACGGCGTCTCCTAAATTAAAAAACAACATTTTTACGAGCAAAGCTTAGGTACACTCTTGTCTGTAGAAAGAGAGAGAGAGAGAATGAGTAAGCGAGAGATAAGTAACGGGGTAAGGGGGTACACTTACACTTCGATATCTGCTCTCCCACCCTCTGTTCCCCTTTCACTTCTCCTCGTTCGTTCCTCGTGGACCGTGGAGCGACGTTCTATCGTTCGTAAATTGCGTTTTTAAATTCGTCGGGGGTTGAGCCTCGTGCCGGGCCGTAAGCGAGTATTTCCGAAACCTGTCGAATATTTTATTACTCGTTGAAAAAGAATTTTCTATCTAATAAAGCTTTTTTTCTTTTTTAATTTAAATAATACAGCGTGCAAGCTTCAAGATTGATTAAAAATGGTAAAAAGTGTTTTTAAAAATAATTGAAAGATTAACAAATTTTTATATTAATGTTATCAGAGAATGGAATAGTAATTTATTTTGCACGATCCCGTATTATTGGATACCCTTATTTTGAAGATATCAGTTGGACTAGGAAAAGGACATAGGGATGAGGAATGGATAAAAGCAAGAGAGGGTTGTGGATATGTGAAGGTAGAAGGGTAGAAAGAGGCAGCAAACAGCAGATTCGCGCTGAGCTGTGGGCCGCATACTTTGGAAATACTACGGCCGAATCGAGTAAGGGTGTATAATGGAAGTTGAAATTGGTCGGCCCTGTCCCGGCTGGGCAAGCTTTCTCTCTCTCTCTCTCTCTCTCTCTCTTGCTCTCTCTTTCCTTCTCTTTACTACTACCCCTATACGAGCGGCTATCGAGGGAAACGCATTCCATGCCAAAATTACTTCGCGCTGCGATCCGACGGGATATATACAAGGCACCGCTAGGATTGAGGTTAGTCTTTTGTTTGTTGTTGTACACAACAACAACAACAACAACAACACAACAACAATACAAACACAAATGTATATATATATATGAATTTATCTTGGGAAGAACGTCGACATTTTTGACGAATCCAAATTCTTATTGTCCTTGTTTTTATTCTTATTCTTTCAAATCGTCTTTCGAATTTGTCATAAAACTATTACGTAACTTTTATATTGATTTTTCTTCATCGAGAAAGAATTAGTTTTGCGAAAATCGATTTTTAAGGATAGCCGTGGCATTAATTTCAGTCGTTAGAATGGCGAAGAAGAAGAAGAAGAAGAAGGGTTTGGAAAGAGGAGGGAGATTGGTAGACCTCATGAAATATTCGCCAATCTGGGAAGCATCTATTTACCTATCCGGTTACTCATCCGGCTATCTATCCGTCCGACTGTATGCCTCCTCTCTTTTTATCTCCCTGGTTTGGCCGTCCTTGTCTTCTTTCGCCTCTGTTGGTTTCACATTTGTGGAGCGTTGATTAAAACCACTCGACGAACGTGGAAGGAGAGACAGAGAGAGGGAGAGAGAGGGAGAAATAGGTTCGTATATACGGAGTTTAAGGTGCGTGTGGTTGGACGCGTGCTCGAGCGCGCAAATCGAACGCAAGCGCGAGGAAGAAGGGGTAGAAAGAGGGAGAGTAAGAGGGGCTAGGCAAGTGTGGGGGGGTAGAAACGAAATGAGAAGGAGGAGGAGGAGGACGAGGAGGAAGCGATGGTAGTGGAAAGAGAAGGAGAGAGGACCAAGGCGTTGCTTGCTTAATTACTAAAAGCTAATCAATTCCAGGAGGAAGTAAAGTTTAAATTGCGAACTAAAGTATAGCCGGCTCCCGGACGTAGCCCTGCAAAGCGATATTACCGCGCGCTGCATTCTGCAATTAGCCCGTGGTAAGTCATTGAAAGCAAATTATGGGCGGTACCCGTGAACAAAACGCACCGTCCGTTTTCGCAGTTATGAAAATTTCCAAGCTGAGTCTGAGTGCTTGTTATACCGCGCCCACTAGTCGATTCGATTAAGGAATCGAATAAGGATTACGTACCAAAACTTTTTTCTCTCTCTCTCTCTCTCTCTCTCTTACTTTTATTACAGTGCAATATAATATCAAATCCTATTATTATAGTAACTGAGCTCGTTCGAGTTCTTCAAATTTCACGTCGAAATGATCGAACGCATTTGACCGTTCTGGACAAGTGATAGTTTACTGGAATCCCTCGTTCAACTTTACCGATGTTTACCGGTTGTATTGTTGAAAAGATTTTTCCAACGATTCTGAGACTTGCACAACGTTGACTGTCACTTTGATCATCCGTGGCCATTTGGGTCATCTGTGACAACTGTTCTTATATTTAATTGTATATATATGTAATACATAGAAACTTGCAATGTTTAGTTTAAAATATTTGAATTAGTAAATTAGATAGGTAATTTTCATAATCATTTGAAATTGTTCATCATTAATTTTCCAACAAACGGCAAT